AATGTCAGCGGGCTCTTTTATGAGGTTTGGTGCGGGATGTTGCAGGTTTCGCAGGAGGGCCTCTGCCTGCACTTTGAGCATGACTTGACCTTCCGGAGAAACATGGCTCCAAGCCACGCGAAGGCAAGCTAAACTCGGAAAGATGAAGCGGTGAGGTAACCCCAAACCCCAATGCAAAGGGCACAGGCAGTTCAGAAGCGTGGTGTTGGCCATCATATCCACTAGGACGTTCGGAAAGCAGAATGAAGATGGAACCGAAATCACGGCCGGACGTTTAGTGATGGTAGCGTTGGAGATGGATTTGGCGGCGAGCCTGTCCGAATTGACCAGTGCCGTCTGAGCCTCATTGCAGGGGTCAGCATGACTTAATTGAGACGAACATGCGGAATCATGTAGAGACCTAGATCTTGCCAGGCCTCGAAGACTGGCAAAGGAAGAATCCCTGTAGTATTTGTTCACGACACATTCCCAGACCTCCGGAGTCCAGGTGACTTTGCTTGCCGAGCGCGCGTCTGTGGAGAGTGTCAGGACAGCCTTGAAGATGCAGGGATGTCCGATCTGCAGAAGGAAGTAGACACGCAGAATAGATCGGTACGTACGTACGTATGTATGTATGTATGTATGTATGTATGTGTATATATATATGTATGTATATATATATATAGGTACAGGATTCATTGGCATGCCATTGCTATTTCGAAACAAACATCTGAACATAATACATATATATATATAACATACGTACATATACATATGTATCAGTAGGTATGTAAACGTTTGATCATGTTTGCAAGCATGTGCTTATGCAGCCATACTGTTTTTGGAAGGATTCTGCACAGGAGAGATCTGAGGCGATCAGAAACTCCAACTTCCGCGTCCTGTGCTGAGACCAGGGCCTCAGGGGTCATGATCAGTAATGGCGTTCTGGTACTGGCATGTGTACTGAGTCATAGCCGCAGCCGCAGGAAGCATAGTGGTGGTGGTGGCGGCAGCGGTGGCGGTGGTGGTGGGTGGGGTGGGAAGTAGTCGTAACAGTACCAGCGGTACTAGCCAGCACCAATACGAGTGCTCGACTATAGAAGGGGCAAGAGTTGCAGCAACGCAATGCTGACAGCCTGGTAGCCCTGGGCGTACTCATGGTATTCACAGAGTTGCGGTTTTTGCGACTGTCGGTAAGAAGCCCTTTGCCTTTGCAAAAAGAAATCAAAGCCACCAGTCCTGACCCCGAGCTTGGCCAAGGCCTCAAAGCCTTCCAAAAGCGCTTCAAGGATCCGAGCTTCAGGCCGAACAAAAGAGGTTTTGGGCTTTTTGAACTGATCTCAGGGTTGCTAGGATTCCTGTTCTGTTTGGGGGAGCTCTTGTGCACAAGCCGACAGCCCGAACATGGGGGTTGTGCTCGGGATTTGTCCTGGATGGTTTCGGTTGCCAATGTGAAGGCGTCATATGACTAGATTCTCAGGCAGTGTTGAGTGCTAGTGATGCCCGTGGCGAAGTATTGCGCGTGTCTGCTGATGAAAGAACTAGCTGCTAGCTTCATACCCATGAAGCGGGTGAGTCGTGGGCACCAGTGCACGACTCAGCGGCAAGCGACAACAACTTCCTCGTTGTGCTGGCAACGTCGCCGCTGTGCACACACCAGTTACAACGGATGGAATGGTGAGTTTTTCAGTTGTCCGGCCGAGATGACCATCTTATCCGAAGTCTGCCTTCTCTGTCGGCATGTTTCGTGCTCGAAGTGGGCTGGCGATTTGTGCAACTTCCAGGCTGTGGCTCGAACAAGACACCGAATTTCTGCAGTGATGCATCAAATTGCAGCACACAGGAAATTCACAAACTCACCCAGCCCAGAGGCCGCGGTCGAGTCTCAGCTGCTCAGCTTCGGAAGCTTTGTTGAGACGCAGATCGCTCAGGGGACCGGCACTCGGACTTTGGAACTGTGCCAGGCTGGTTTGTCGACACCGCGGGGCAGGAAGTGCCTGGCTTTTGAGGGTTTTTTCACTGTCGAGCCATTGCTGTGCAAAGAATGAGAGCAATTGAGCTGCTTCCCCAAGATCTCTTACGGGCTCCCACGGCAACCCGAAGGTCTTGACATGTCTTGGCATGCGCCAGAGTCCATCCGGGCTGTCACTCTCAGGGCTCCCAATCTTCAGTAGCCTCAGGAAAGCAGCGACCTCCGAGTTTTTCACAGGCCCGCCATCCCCGTCTGCACTGGCTGTGGTGCTTGGGGTGGGGGGCGGGGTGGGATCGTATTGATCGAGCATCGTAGTTGAAGGTCGAGGCTCGAGGGATGAAGGCCCGGCAAAGTGGGGTTCCGGTTGCAAGCTGTAATGTTACACGTGCTCGATCATCACAGTTAAGCTCTTGCATCTGGTTGTGAAGCTCTGACGTCGGGCTTCAATTTGAGTATCGGCTTTCCGGGCACGTTTGGTTCCCGAGGACTTTTGCATGGTGTACGGGGGCTAAAACTCTTCACGCGCCCCGATGCAAACCCGGAACTCCATATCAATGTCGGGCAGTCTTGAGACTTGTGCCCTGCTACGAGGCTGCAGCAAGATCACAGACAGACATACATTCGAAGCGTTTACAACTCTTGCCACGCACTGAAGTATTCCCGCCTTGCTGCCTCATGCCGCGATGCGCCATGGGGTCGGCCTGTTTGCAGCCGGCCATGCACTGAGTCAATTTGTCAAGCGAGCGTTCGCACTCCAAGGTTGAACCTAGGTCTCATGTATGCAGAGCTTGCTTTACCGAGGGTGGCTCTGCAGTGCTTGTGCTGTACGGAGTAAATCTGCATGATTTAAAAAATGCGCCAATACTCCAGACGAGGGAGATGTGAAGTCTCTAAGCTAGTGCATCGCCAGCATTCCTATGTCAGAATGCCAATCACCACACCCTGGCCCACGGGTCTGCGGCTATCGGCTATCATCTTTAATCCTCCTCACTCAACACAGCGGACATAGCGAAGAACCAGCGTAGCACTTTTAGGTACCAATCTTTACAGTAGGCTCCACGGCTTAAGAAGGTCCAGCTCGGTTTTGCCTTCCTTACATTGGCTGCTCTTGCGACTTGGCTTGGAAAGGCACGAGACCCGGGTTCCTGCCGTAGCAGTCTCGCTGAACACGGAATCACAAGCCGCACAGAAGAAGTTATGAAGCTTCTAAAGTCGTCGACAAGCCGCCGATTGCCATCCCTTGCCCCCTTTGTGCGAGTCTCGACACTCTGAGCAACTGAAGGTTCGAAAATGTTCACGCCGATCACGACTGTTCCGCTCAGGACAGTAGGGAACGAGTTTGGGGGCTTGTCGCCGAGTGTGACCTCGGAAAACCAATGATTTCCCCGATGCCGGCCGATAAACTCCAGAGCTAGTTTAGCTTTACCCTTGGATTCACTGCATTCCTGTTTAGTCAAGAAGAGTCTGAGATCACCTGCTGCTGAGGCAGAGGCTGCCGCGGCTTCGGAGGAGCCCCGAAAACCCGGAGATATTCCCCATTGCATTTATCCAATGCCGGAAGGTTTAGCGGGATTGTCTTGGGACCCAAGCACCCCAAACAGACCCAGGCATTTGTTGCAATGGGGTGCGCGGCTCGAGGGGCCAAGTCTTCGGCCCCCTGGCTTCAGGGCCGTTTTATTTTCGACCCTTGTCGCATGTGCTGCAGGAATGTGAAGATACGCCGGGTTGGACAAACGGTTATACAGCTTGCCGCTGGACGGCAGTTGGCAAGCTGTGACATCGTGCGAACACTTTTGTGACAGACTTTCGCGAGTCGCATCAGTATACGGCCATTTTCCTCCGCAGCATCATGAATCGTCAGAGCACCAGTGTAACTAGTGCCTGTCGGCCCGCTGCCAGATTGTCTCCTTACAGTATTGTCGTCCGCGGCGTCATGTCCTGCGTTGACTGAAAACGGAAGATGTATGTATGTACGTATGTATGTATGTCTGTATGTATGTATGTAGGTAGGTAGGTAGGTAGGTAGGTAGGTAGGTAGGTAGGTAGGTATGTACAGTAATGTTATATATATATACACATATAATGTGTTTGTACATGTGCGTGTACATGTATATATGTACACATGTGCATATGTATATATGTATACATGTGATATATGTGCGTTTATGTACATATGAATATATGTATATATGCATACATCTGTATATGTGTATGTTTATGCATGTGTATGTGTGTGTGTATATGTATGCGTACGTGTGTGTAGGCATGCATGTTTGTACGTTTGTTTGCAGGCACGTATGCATGCATGCATGTATGCATGTAAACCAATAAGACGAGTCCATATTACACGATGTTGTGCCATGTTCCTCTATAGATACTTTGAAGATTGTACTGTAATTATTGTAGGGGAGCGTCTGCTATGGTACTCGTAAAGGCGAGACTGCGTCGAATTTTCGTCGTTCTGCTACAGTGCATGCCGTTACTCTACGGTAAATTACATGGCGTTGCATAGTTGCATAAACCGTATATAGATTGAAGTTGCGCGTGCCGGACCCCTAGATTCCTACATCCGATATCAATGCATGTCCCAACGATTCTTCAGCATAAGACTTTACCTTTACATGGAACTGCCTCTGACTAGCATCAGTCGTGAAGGCAATAACTACGTGCCCGTGGATCCCGACTGCCATGAAGATGGCGTCGTGTGCCACTTCTACAAGGCAAAATCTGAAGAACTAGTTGGGTCGAGGATCCAGGGTCCGAAATTGCATTGCGATGGCTCCTCGTACACCCACATCCTTGGGATCCTTTTTGCGAAGTGTGACTTGGATAGCCAATAGAGCCCCATGCTGGGTGCTTCTTGACAACAACAGCCTTTGCCTTCGGTGGTCTCTGCGATGTCTGTTTCTTTTGTCGGGACATGTCGGCACCCTTTCGAGATTTAGGATCTTATGCTGTCGTACTCGTGTAGAACTTCTGCATGTGGTACTGCTTTCCCAATCCAAACAAGCATGCGCACGAGGAGCATGCAGATTTCTGCGCGAAGGGAATGAACGACCCGTGGCTGTCCCTGACCCAGTGCAATTCGCGAGCGTGCATCCAAGTGCTGCAGGACATTTTGGAGCATGTCGAGGGTTCATGCTGGTCGCCACGAGGGCAAGTTTCGCATCGAAGGGGCGGCTTTCCCTGCACAACTCCACTTATCTCTCTGTACGGCCCTCTCGAAGGAACTGCTGCACTTGCGGCGGCGGTTCGACGTTCAATGGTGAAAGACCCACCACGCAAGGGCCCTAAGAGCTGCGTTGGCCGTTTCGAGTCGGGGCCCATCTCCTACAGTAGCACCTGAATCCCTCTTCAAGGTTTTAGGTTTAATCGGAGGCTTAGGGCTCAGGGCTTCAATAGCTGATTCTTCATCTTCTGCTCTCGGCAGCCTTAGTGATGGGCACAAGGATGCGAAAGGAACTTTGCAAAGCCTTGTCACGTCCTGTCACATATTTTGTCCTGGCGTTCTAGCACAAATTTGCCGGGGGTTTCTGGTACCCTGGCTTGATCGCAAATTTCGATGCTTTCGAATTTGGCATCTCGCGTTCAGGACGCCTCGGCCAACGGTTGACATCCCCGGGCTCAGCTGGTTGTCGGACCCCCAGAAATTGTGAGCCACAGTGTTAGACCCGGGCCTTCGCAATGAAAGGGAGAGGCTCCTTTAAGACTCGCTTGAACATATAGAAGGAGCCATGTCTTCCTCCAGGGCGAGGCGTCCACAACCGCAGAGTTTGTCATTATGACTGTTGTCCTGTGGCTCCGTTGAAGCTGTCCTGGCTTGAACCATCGGACCTTGTCCGGGTGTCCGCAAAACATTGCCTCGTCGGTCGGCCCACTAGTTGTCAAACAATCCGGCGCCACAGCCTCAGTAGCTGAAGTCAAGGGCTTAATTAGGGCTTGCTGGTACAGATCGGGTTGGAGCTGTCCCAGATCTGCTCTGTTTCCTTCGTCAGGAGGTGGATTGGGTAATGCCGCCTGTGATGGCTGAATCCATGTCACAGGCCTGGCATTCACTCCGTCGAAAAGCAGATCAGCCACTCGGTCCAGAGAGTAGAGCTTGGTTGGGCTTCTAGCATCCTACGGCCATGGCTGCATTTTGCTTTTCTACTGTCACGGGAATACAGGCGTTTCAGTTGCTGTAGCTGGAAGTAAACGGAATTGAGGGACAGACGAATGCCATGAAACAGAGCAGACTCTTTGCCTTGGCTCAGCCGTCCGCCACGAATCGCAGGCAAAATGGAAGAGCAGATGAAGCCCTTTGAGCAGAGCATGCATGAGGCACGGCGTAGATTCACTGGGAACCGCTCGAAGCTCCCACTCAGTCCCAGGCCTTTTAGGGTTTAGGGTTTAGGGTTTAGGGTTCAGGGTTTAGGGTTCAGGGTTTAGGGTTTGGGGTAGGGGTTAACCTACAGCAGCCATTGCTTCAGCTACAAGACCTTTCATGTGGACTCCTTCATGCACCTCTCTCCTTGCGGTGAGGTGTACCAGGGTCTCAATGCGCCCGACTTCAATGCCCCGCCGGAGCTGGAGGGCAACTCCCTGGTGCAGGCGCCGGCACCAATCTCGATTACTACATTGATAAGCGCGCATTTCGATGCATCCACTGCAAAAATCCCTTGTTGAATCTCATCTTGTGTTAAGGGATCCAGGTCCAGGATACTCAGTCTTCTGCGACTCGGGGGCTCTGGCTTCGTGCGTGATGCTTGGCGCATGGCTTCCCCGCAAGCGGGTTTTCGACCGTATACTGCGCTCTCTGCACTGATGGAGTTTGCCACGTGGATGATCCCTGCATGCTGCCACGTGAGAGGTGAACTGGGCAGTCTTCCTTATCATCGTCGTCGTAGCAGGCGGCACTGCGATCGGCTGGTTCTGTGATCTCGTTGGCAGCTTAGCACGTGTCATCCAGCCTGCTCGTTCAGCTCAGCTGCCTCAATACGCGAACAACGGCGAAGATTGCACATCACGTCGTTTGGTTTTGCACTACAGTTCAGCCTGAGTTCAGCACTAGAACAGCTTTTTAATGATGCCAGAGCCCCGTCAATTTGGGCGGGAAATTTTGGGGTGCCTTGTTGATCCTTCCGATTGGAGTTCCTTTGCACGGCAACGTTCGAGCCGATGTGGTGAAGTCTTTATTTGCAAAACAGGCCCAAACTTACCCAGAGTCTGCAGGCAGTCCACCCGGTTCCCTGAGGGATCCGCGTTGATAGACCTGAAGCCTTGCTGCCATGTCGATTGTCGTTCGGGTAGCCCTGATAAGTGGAAGCGAAACAGAGATCGACGTGGCGCCAGTTTGTTCCATAGACGAGCTGCGGTGTGAAGCCCAACGCCGGCTAGGTGTCGGGCGAGGGAAGTTGTTGAGCCCGTCTGGACGGTATTTTCGAGACGGAGACATAACAGTTGCTCAGGCTGGATTAAATCACGACGATCTTTTGACCTTACACAGAGAGCCGTTGAAATTGGCCTCAACCGTCCATGCGTTTGCCGCAATTCTGGGCGATGGCACCGTCGTCACCTGGGGTCACGATGCTCATGGCGGCAACAGCACAGCTGTGCGACCGGAGCTTAAGAATGTGAAGCAGGTTCAGGCGACCGGCTCTGCCTTTGCAGCGCTCTTGGCCGACGGGTCCGTTCTTGCCTGGGGGAATCCTGAGTGTGGTGGTGACTGCAGTTCTGTTCAGCACCGGCTCGTAAATGTCAAGCGAATCGAAGCTGGCTTCCACGCTTTCGTAGCAATCTTAGATACGGGATCTGTGGTGACCTGGGGCGATGCTGCGTTTGGTGGGCAGTGTTCAGAAGTTCATGAGCAGCTGCAGGGTGTGCAGCAAGTTTCGTGCACAGGTTATGCTTTCGCTGCCATTTTGGACAACGGCTCTGTTGTGACATGGGGCCACCCGGCACACGGAGGTGACAGCCGTGCCGCACAGCACCTGTTGAAGAATGTGCAGCAAATCAAGGGCACGATGTCGTCGTTTGCTGCGGTCCTGGACAATGGATTTGTCATACAATGGGGTCCCCCGGCATATGGGGCGAAAGCCGTCCAGGTGCCAGTCGAGAATGTACAGCGGCTCGAAGCTGGTTTCCACGAGTTCGTCGCAATTTTACAAGATGCTTCGCTCGTGACTTGGGGCCACGACCCCTGGGCTGATGGCATTACTGTCCTCCCGTTCAAGAATGTGCGACATGTCCAGGTCACCGATACTGCATTTGCCGCCCTTTTGACCGACGGAACTGTCGTGTCGTGGGGAGATGCCGACTCTGGTGGTGACAGTGAAGCTGTCCAAGACCAGCTTCACGATGTCCGACGCCTCGAGTCAACTGGAGGAGCCTTTGCTGCTCTCCTTGAAGATGGAGCCGTTGTGACATGGGGTGACCGTCTGCGTGGAGGAAACAGCAGTTCCGTGCAAGCACGACTGAAAAACACTCGGGCAATATATGCCAATGGCTATGCATTTGCAGCTATTGTGCAAAACGGAGCAGTCGAGTCTGTTGTGACTTGGGGCAGTGCATTCTATGGTGGCGACAGCACGTACGTCCAAGCCCAACTCAGCTTTTGAGAACGTGGATCTGCAGCGAGGAGCGTCCCATTCCTGCTTGCAAGAACCCGAAGATGGCTCCGCCATCTACGTCTCGACCGTCTCCAGACTTCTAGACTGCAGTCCTTCTGCTATCTCTTCATTTCGGTCTGCCGGGTTCAGGCTTCGGGCATGATTGTGCAACAATCGTGGCAGCATTTCGGCTGGGCTGAGCATGCTCAGTCCACATCTCGTCCCACTTGATTACAAGCTCATGAAGCTCGCCGGGTGAGCTTGCACGGAGCCTCTGGCTAGTGGGAGCCGCTTTAGCCCAAATGCCCCAGACTGAAACGGAGATGTGCGCCCTGGAGGCAAAGCAAATCGAAAAGGATCCTTTTTGCTAGGTAGTTGGGAGTTGCCATCCTTGCCGCGTGTCAGCTGAACCATGCTGTGCCTCTGCAGCGCCAGTAATCCACCGATTTGAAATGACACCTCTGAACCTGTATACATCTTTACAGACACCGACTCAAGCACATTCTTCTCCATAACCACACATGGCCGCTGGAAACACTCTTACCGGTGCCCTTCGACGCTTAGGTCGGCTTGGGACCGAAGCCGCCGAGCCTGGACCAGGACCTTCCAGGTGGCATGTTGGCAGTACAAGATCCCCTCCTTCGCGTAAAAGCTTGCTGCAATGACGTCTCCGCATGCAGGGCTCTAGCTGTCGAATCCTGGCTCCCTTCTCACCCGCCAAGACCGCTGAGTCAGTGGCAAGCCAATTGTGACCTTCAGTGGACAACCAATCTAACGAAAGTCGAAAGTCGCCAGCACAAGCTTAGCGAATAAGCCGATTATTTGCAGGTGCCTACCATGCTGCCTCTTGGCTTGATTTGCCTCAGCCAGGCCTTCGGTAGCTGGCAGCTGGCCACAGGAGCGACAAAACTGTAACCCAAACTCAACAGATGATGACAACCAGAAAAGATATAAACCCATAACAACGCACATGAATGTGGGCATGCATGGGTATGTATGTATGTATGTATGTATGTATGTATGTATGTATGTATGTATGTATGTATAGAGACATTTCTATATATGTATATACATACATGCATACATACATATGCTTTTGTGTATGTATATATATATATAAGGATATATCCTGCATACACATATACATATTCACGTACATATACAGATACATCTACGTATACATATACCATGACATCAGCATATACGTACACATATACGTATATACATATAGATATACTCTTTGAACGACTCTAACAAGAGTCTTAACACCGTAACCTGTCATGCGATGTCATCAAACAAAACCCGAGTCATTCGAACGATAGTGTTCTTCCGCACGTATCGACAGGTGGAAAGCGAAAGGGAGCTCGGATGGCTAGAACATAGTTGCAGTTTTGTAAAACTTGGCCGGGTTCGCAATGCATGCTACATTGCAAAAGGCTGCCAAGGTCAGTTGCCTTCAGTTTCGAGTCCAGTCCCCACGTCACCATCAGCAACAAACCTTACGAGACTCTTTTGCGCGCTCTGCCGCTGAGGCAAGCGGAGGTCGACCCCCCGCTTGGTCGACGATCATGCTAATTCTCAGCTATGCCACGTGGAGGCAATTTGTCGGCTTGAAAACCACAGATACATATAGCCACCGGTCGGGCCTGACAGGGCAGGAAACCCAACCGGAATTCAAGCATATGTTCAATGCTTTTCGGCAGAGAAAGAGTAAGATATCAGATCTGTCGAATCAAGGATTTATTTAGAGCTTAGGGCTTCAAGACTTCGAAGGCCTCGGTTGCATACACCCCGTAAGAAGACTGATGCCGTACCACCTTGGCGTGGTCTTCTGTGGAATTCTCTGCAGCTTTCTTCACAAGGAGCATGCCTGCAAACAGTTCTGAAGAAGCAAGGGCACTGAGGTCTTGACTCTGAATTGTCGGGCTGCGCTCTTGCAACAAGGTCCTCCTGGTGCCTGGCCTGACGCAGGTTCTCTTCAGCTTCAACATCGTCGTCAATGTAACCCACCAGCAACTAACAACTCAATCCTTTCCAGCCTGCCAGTCTGAACGCTGGCGGTTGTCATATCATTATGCACGGCTTTTGCAAATCTCAAGTGCACACCCACATGCTGTCAGCCCAGCGTCAATTCGCTGCGCAGCCCTGGAGCCATGCGAGCCATGCCGCTGCCTGACAAGGTGCTCGGTCACCGAATAGATGTGCAGCCGGAGACTGGGCATGCGAACTCCAGGCTTACACTCTTGCAGTCTCCGTTTTCCTTCTTCCTTCCTTTGGTCAGAATTTCTTGATGCTTGGAGCTATAGAATCCTAGCCTAGGAGAAAGGCCATGTTGCTTGCACAGAAACCGTCACTGGGCTGGTGCATCTGCTGGAGAAGACAGGATCCAGGACTCGTGCTTCATCGTAGCATCAGATGATTTGCAGCTTCGGAGGCCGGCAGCCTAGGTGCAGACGACGTCAAAAGGATGCTCAATTTCATGTTCTTCTGCCTGAGCTTCAAGAAATTAAATGCCATATACCTTCGCTGACGAGTTCTGGTGAGCCCTGGATACAACCTTCATCTGCATTCGCGACTCATGCGTTCTGCATGCATCCTTCTGTTATCAAAACGGCACGAATTGGTGCTTCAGCCCGGCAGGACAGGAGCAGTCCTCATCGTCCTCTATGCAGTCGTGGTGCCAGTGGTCAAGCTGCTTTTGTTGGCCATCGGGGAGGTCTTCAGGCCCAATCCTCGGTCATGAGAAGCTCACCAGGGATGAACCTTGCTTTCCAACTGCTTGACCTAGGTTCTCGTCGTCAGAATTTCTGGTGCTCGCCTGAGATCAGCGAAATCACACAGATCATTGGATTGGGATGGCAAAGAACATCGCAGGAGTGTAGTCGGTCTCGAACTAGCCAGCTATTCGACTGCGAAAGCAGCCCACCTCAAAACTGCACTTCCTGTGACGGTCCGAAGCGCCTTCTGGCTGCAGGTCCTGGTCGCCAGGGTTTGCATCGTCATCGTGCAGAGCATCTCAAAATGGGCCTGCCAGGAGCTCAAGACCTTGTCAGATCCAGCAACTTTTCCAGCCATGAGCCTTTGCTTGCAAAGAAGCAATTATGGTCATCTGGATGAACACATCCACGCTGATGGTACTGTATGGATGCTTCTGCTACAGTGTTTGCCGCTCCAGTCCAAACCTTGCTGCTTGAAAGGTCCGGACATGTTTGCCTACATTCTGCTGGTTCACTTGGTGCGGCTGCTTCACAGCGACCCATTGGTCTTAACGGCTGCCAAGCTTGATGCGGCTGGGCAGAGCACTAAGTTCGTTAAGACTGTGCGCCCTCAACATCCAGAGGCCCCCATACCCTTAACGGTGACTGTACTGGCTTCTCGAAAAAATTAGAGTCGGTTACCGTATATCGCTGTATGTTGTTGGAGAACTATCAGACAAACCCCGAAACTTTGCACGCGGAGGTGGGCTTCTCTTGCTTCAGCGTTTTCTGCGTTTGCTCGACAGTTTCGCCGAGCTCTCAGAAGGTTGGGACACACGTCGCCTGATTGTCGGCCTTGACAAGCAGCCGTATACGGTACGAAGTTCTGCCATCCATGCGGTTTAGGGTTTAGGGTTTAGGGTTAAGGGTTTAGGGTATGGGAATCCTGCACTCACAAGAAAGGTCTTTGGGCATCAGCTTGCCGCTGCTTCCGACGAAGACTGCGGTCACCGGGACCCGCCGGAACGGCAAGTATTAGGGACCCAAAAAGCACATAAGCATAAGCTTTTTATGGGGATATCCCTATTTTATTGGGCTTCATTACAAGGGGATTTGACAAGTGACTTCAAGGGCAAATCTTGTGGGACAGGCAGGCAATGCTGCACTGAGTTGCTACTGTACAGTAGTATTTATGGTTGTTCTGCTTGGAGAAGCTCCCTGGCAACACAGGCCTTCCACCTGTTTGCACCTCAAAAAAGGCTCCACTTCAGAAGACCGATTCCCAAAGCCTCCCGAAGCCCTCGGTTTCCATGTGTTCTGCTTTTTCTCGCTAAACCCGGGGTTGCCCATCTAATTACTGGAGTCCAGGCTTCCTTTTTCAAGCTTTAGTGGATGCGGCTCCGGCTCAGACCATGCAGAGCGCCGGAACAATGCAAAGCTTTGCGAAACTACCATCTGCGAGGAAGCCCCTCTGTAGTGCCAAAGCAGTACAACTTCTGGCGGGAGTGATCGCAGCTGTCTTCGCCCTGTGGCTGCATCGGAGCCGTCCTTTTTGAGTCTTTGAGTCCGGGAGTCCGGGATGAGGGGAAGTGCCCGCACCGATGAAGGCAGTCTTCTTCGTTGCCGGCCTTTCGATTCCTTGCATGTCTTTGAGGACCGCTCGGGATTCCCGGCACGGGACACATGCGAGGATGGTTGGCCACGTGATCTCGTGCTGCGAGGATCGATGAGAGACAACTCTACCCCCCGAATGGCTCCGTGCCGTACTCCGCCAAACCCCTTGTGGAGGTGCGCCTTGATCAGCATAGTAATGGACTGGTCAGGGATCAACGACACCGCAGGCCTGCGCCACGGTCAAGAGACAGGTAGGACCTTTCCGGATCTGAAGCTGCATTCTGTGCCAGTCCCTGGCCATCCCGGACCTCCTGAAGTCCGACATCAGCATCCTCTCCTGCACCCGCTGGCTGATGCAGGAGATCGGCAGCGGCGAGGCCAACAGAGCCTCGGCAGATCTCGGCAGATGCAAGCAGTAGCAGTCAATGTCAAAGGTCCTTTGTGAGCCTCTTCATCACTGATTTCCAGTGCCTGGCCTTGTGATGCTCAAGGTCTCTTTGCCTTGGTGATGTTCGGATTCTGCGTTATAGCAGCTTGGCCCAGTCTGCTGCAGACGCTCGGTGGCCTGCGTCTCCACCGGACTGCAGAAGACTTTCAAGTTTACTTGAGCAATGCTGAGCACATAGGCACCCTGCTGCCGAGTTCCAGGCCAATTACATCAAATTTCGTGAATTCTCCTCGCCCTCAACGATGCCACATGCTCCAGTGCATCCCAGTCTGCACAAGAGAAACTCAAATGTCTTTGGTTTGCGAGCAAAGGCACTGCCGCTGGCAGATGTCCTTTTCCTTCTGCTTGCTGCCAGCCGCCTGGAACCGACGGCGGCAGCCTGGCAAGGGCAAAGAGGAGGGTATTCGCAATGCAGCAAGTCCCCGGACCTCTGCTACACCTGCTCCTACTGGTCCTCCCACCAGGGCCCAGTTGCAGTTCCGTAGTACTGCCACCTGCACGGGTAGGGGGCAACCCCGACACTTGTAAGACTGCGTCCGGGGTAGATCCTTTCTTACAGAATACATAATGTTGAGTTCATTTTAGTAAGCCCCTCCCTTCAGTTTAAAAGACCCGAGTCCGGATTCTCAAGTATCAATCCCCTCTAAATTCAATAAGACTTACCCCGAAAACTGAGTACTTATCCCGTCCCTGTCCCTGGTTCCTAAAGCAAGACTTGGGAGCTTCGAACTGCCCTTTTGTCAGCCCTCCCGGAGTCTACTGGGACCCCCCTCGCAAGAGTCGACTGACCTGGCGGGAGGTTTCAACATCACTGTGGTAGGACGGAAGTCTAACATACTGGTGGGCTCATAGAACGGAGACCCCCATGCCGTAGCAGCTTCATAGAGCGGAGAACCCCCATCCCCCCGTAAAATCCTACCAGAAAGGACTCACTGGGTATTCTTCCGGAACACCAGGGTAGCACAGGGGTATCAAATACTTTGCTAGCCAGGCCACGTAATTTGAGCCTCCGGCCAAGAGGTCTCAAGACAAGAAAGGTTCGGCAGGTCAAAACTTATGTCCTCCCAATGTATCCTTTGTTGTCGAGGTGTGTTTGACATTAACTCGAGGTGACTGAATATTTACCGAAGTCGAACTCAAAATGAAGGGATCGGTGTGAACCTGACCTTGCTTTGAGGCAGGGCCTGTAGCTCCCCGATCAACAGATGCGGGGCTCCACTCAAGCACCCTGTCATCCGCTACAGGCAGGCAATGGCCTACCTCCATCTGACCAGCCATGTTGGTTCTACTCCTGGGCTGCGTCCTCAGTCGTGGGGTGGTTCAGAGCCACTTCAGAGTCTCCTGCAGAAGAGTGTTTCAAGTCTGGGGATTTAGGATGGAGCTACAAGCAAATTGGTGGCAGACTCATCATGAACTTGGTTCCATGTAGATTCGACAAGTCTTCAGCGTCATGCAGCATACACCAAGCCAGCTCATCCACCCATGAGGCGAAGGTGCTACGGAAGCTGGCGATGCTGGATGTGTCCATTATGGGTGTCTATGCCAGATCCCCAGGGTCCGTTTCACTTCGGAGGGGCAATGCCGGAGTCTCCCGAAGCGCATGCCAACGTTCTGATTCGTTTGGAAAGCCTGTGAACTTGTAATATGTTTGCTGGCTTACGGGAATCTTGATGATCGGGCCGAAAGGTTCAACGGAGGAGGGTGACTCAGCGACAGATCCAGGAATGGTGGTGGCAGGGGGGACATGGTCGGGAAGATAAATCTTTCCCGAGCCCCGTGTGCCATGTGCTCCGGGAAGAAGCCTCAACACGTACGCAATACAGGTACTTGACGAAGCGGCTTCGCCGAAGCCGATTGATCCAGCCGGCTGTAGCTGTTCTGCCATCACAGCACTGCTTTGCGACATGCAGGTCATCACTTTCTGCATGGGCATCTACAAGAAGCAGGGCATCGTGCTGTCAACACACAACGGCCTCCTGGCCCCAGAAGAATGCCCCGCTCTCCGACTTGGGGTCTGAAGCTGGGGGAAATATTTCACCTCACTCCAGGGAGTGCATAGACCATTTGCGTGTTCTACCTTGGACCTTGCTCCAGCCTTTGCAAACTCTTGAAGGGGAACTTCTGTGTCACGAGTTCATCTTCTTCCAACTTCTGAGGCGTCTTGCTGCTCATTGTGGCAGAAGTGGCTCACACTCTGCTGTACTGGCTTGTCTCCGGCCTCTCGACCCGATAAATCGAAGCATGACTGAGTACTGCCTGAGCTGCGTCCGGGAGTTTTTCCCCTGGAGTCTAAGTAGGCGCCACAGCACAAGGGGATCCCCATTCCAAAGAAGAGATCGGATCTGGCCGCGCCACGAAACACTGACGAAGTAGCTCCAAAGCTAGAGGCGTCACTGCCGTGGCTTTCGGCCATGGCAGGACACGAAGAGGACAGATGTTGTTTAAGACCCTTGCCAGCAACGCGAACTCGGCCGGATGTTCAGGTGCCGCAGAGCATGCAGAAGCCTCGGCGCGCGAGGAGCTGATCGCTGCTCGGACCTTTCGGATGGTTTGTGGTGTTGCTCTGAGGGTGTCGGCATGCGTCAAGAGCTCCATGGTTGTGCTCCAATCCCGCACCAGAGTCGCGTCGACTTCAGTACTCAGGCAAACTGGGTTTTCTTTCAGTGAATCCTCACATAGGCCTGCAAGTGTGTCGGCAATGCAAACATTTTCGCGAAGACAGTCAGCCAGTTCTTGGGGATAGTCCTTATCATATTCCTGATACATGGCAATTAGGCCCGTAATTCGGGTTGCTGCGAAAAGGAGCGGCAATCCTTTCACTGCCGATTAGGTCGGCAGTCGACTGAGGCCTACCGTGCAGCGGCACAAGAAGCAGGCGATCCCGATGCAGATGGGCCTCAGGGGCTCAGCTGCTGTGGCCTCTCCAAGCACCTTGGCTATGGCAAACCTGAGCATCTCTCCGGCCGGACGTGGTTGTTCAAGCGTAGGTTCAGGTCCACAATGGACGACTGAGGCTGCTTACGTCATTCGAGGGCTTACTCAACCCTGGCTACGCTTAGCCGTTGTTGCAATTGTCGCGAGGTTTCTCAAACTGCCTGTGGCAATGGGTCCAGCGAAAACTCACTCTGAGATAACACCATTAATGTGAAGCCAAGTTTTCTAGGTAGGTCGCGCATGCCCCCTACTGTCTTATGCACAATTGAGCATCTGCTGTGGCACTCTGAAAGAGTGACTTCCGCGGAGCCAAATGGCACAAAGCCTATATACTATATAGATCATGAAATTCATGCTGATTCACAGCATTCAAGGCAATGCACCGGAGCAGCATTCAAGCATGCAGGAGTCAAGGCCTGTCGCGCCACTGCTGTCGATTCTGTTGTTGCACCAGCATACTTATAATATAAGCAGGAAGCAATGACAGCCGCTGTCGGGTGTATTGCACGGTGAAGTTTATGGCCCAGTCGCTGGCTGGCGGTCGGATGAGAGGTACAAGAGGCGGAAATCAAGGTCTCGTAACAATGTCTCATCCCTAGCCGCCCTAGCTTTAGACTGCGTCGCACATCGCAGACACAAGCAGCACCACAATTGAAGAATGAGCGGCTATCGTGCGTAGCATGCATGTCATTCACAACGGGGAGGACAAAGACCACGGCAACAAGAAGATTGGCAACAACGAAGCCACCAGCAAAACATGCAAGATGTGGAGCAATACCAAGCAAGGTCTCTGGATTTCTTGTACTCGTACTAGTTCAAGCCATGGCGCCTCCGCGAGTGGTGCTTGCAGCCCCTGCCCAAGCAAGTGTGTTTGAAGCGTGGTAAGGGGCCATGAGACTTTGGTCCTAAACAGTGAAAAAGCCTGAAAGTGGCCCAGCAGTACAGCTACGGGAGCTTTGGACATTCAGACATGTGTTTAGGCGCCGAAGTGTGCAACGTCGCAGTTCAGAGTCGTTTGCTCATGACACACCCATGCAAAGAGTCATCAAACCAGGTTTCAAATTCCTCCAGCCCACTCAGCCCACAGGTTGGGGCATGCAACGCACAGAAGGTTCAGGAACCTTAGGGCTTGGCTACTGTTGAGGTCTTCTGTAGTACTCAGTCCGGTCATTTCTTTCTATGGGCAGCAGCATCACATAGAGTGAGCAGGCACGCATATCTCTGCATGGTCACATGTCTGTGCCGCGGTGTCCACCGAGTCTATCAGCCAGCCCGTTCCTCTTTCGCTCTGACATGTTGTCGCTGTCTCTCCCTTCTTTTGCCGGTCCCTCTGTTTGTTTGAGTCTTGGCAGTCCCTGTCCAACCCCTCCCTCCCTTTCTCCCTCCCTCCCTCGCTCCGTCTCTCCCTCCGTCTCCCTCCCTCTCTCTCTCTCTCTCTCTCTCTCCCTCTCTCTCTCCCCCTTTCCCCCTCTCTCTCTCTCTCTCTGTCTCTCTCCGCGTCTCTCTCTGTTGACAGGATCTCCCGCCAGCGGAGCGGGAGCGGATGCTGTCTTTCCTTGTCGCAAACAAGGCCATGGACATGAGTTTCAAGTTGAGGGAAGCTGTCCCGCGGAGCTTGTCAGGGATAATCGGAAGCAGATCGTCATCGTTTAAGCATCTGCTGTTGAGAAGTGCAGGGAGCTGCCAGGTCGAGTTCAAGCCTGACATATCGGGCAAGTTCTCTGCGGTTGTGAAGGTTGTCAGACCTGAGGCACGGCCGACTGAAGCACGTAGCTGCGTCGGGACCCTCCATGCCGGAACTTTGTGTGCCGATCCCCGTCCGCCAGGCCACCAGTCCAGCTGCGTCACCTTCGCCTGGAGCTGATAAGGCCGCCGATACTCGGCATCGACCAGAAGCCAGAAACCTTTCGGCACCTTGGTGTTTTTGGTTCTGACAGTCACGGGCCCACTCTCTTTTCAAGGATCAGATCAACATGGCCGGCTGCGTTCGCCTCGGTTTGCTGCAACGTGACCCTCTCGATGCTGCCATTGCCGACTTACCAACACATCGCGGGCAAGGCATGGTATGTGCGAAGTCTAGAATGGCACATGCCCGCACACATTAAGTTGCGGACCTGACGTATGCAGCTGCAGACGTTCACACTGTGGGGATGATGGCTGTTTGTGGATTCACCTTTGTGCATCGACGGTTTTTCACCTAGGGGTGCCCAGCGCCAGCAGCACTCCAAGCACTTCTGCACGGACAGAGGAGAACACAATGGAGCCAGCAGTTGACCTCGGTGAAAACCGGATTTCCTGATGCGAGGAGACCCCTGGCGCTGGCAAAGGGACGAGCCTGACAGCAGTGCAAAGCGAGCTGAAGAAAAGGCCCGGTGCTCAAGAGCCCGCGCACTCGCCATTGTCTTGTGAGGCGACTATACAGAGAAACTCATGACAGTTGACGTCACGCATACCTGGGCTCTTTTTGTTCGACCTGTTTTTTGGGAGGGGGTCAGGATGTGAGAGTGCTAAGTCCTGCTCGCCAGCCAGGGCTCCAGCGACGGTCTGGGCAATCCCACACATAATCTTGAGATTACCCTAAACCCTAAACCATATAATCTTGAGACTGGGAAGAGCCGAGGTTTCAGACCTTCACGGGCCTGCTGCCTGCCCTGGGCCAGCATCCCAAGACCATGACGAAGGACGCGCCAGCTGGGCAGAGAAGGGGTTTAGGGTGGGCAGAGAAGTTGTCATGGGACTGCGCATCCCGCGCATTCACGGGACCTTCCGTCTTTGTCCAACTTTGGGGAGGTTTTTGCCCGCTCCCTGGGAAGGCGGAGCTCCTGAGCTTCATCGAAGAAGTCTACACTGCGCGGTACAACCAGGCGCTCTTTTTAAGGGCCCTTGGCCTTGGCAGATAACCCCCCTTAGCTTCAGAATTTCACGTTGTTTAGGGTACTGGGGGGGTGTTGTGCCAAGGGCATAGGCTCAAGTTTACCGACAACTTGAAGACCAGAAGTGATGGAAGAATCAGATGACAGTCAAGCGCCGGTGCCTTTTCTTAGCTTCATTGGCTCCCGGAAAACCCAGTTCAGCCAAATTGCTGACCATCTGATCTGCTAACCCCCCAGACTGTCCCGGCCAAGTCCTCTGCCAGGACCTCCTCCAGATTCAGCAGCACGCTGAAGCAGAGGCCCTTCGCAGTAGGTTTGAGGATTCTGGACTTTTCTGGAACAGCCCAAAGCCGCAATTCCGAGGCTGTGGGAGTGCAGAAAAAGAAGAAGCCGGCGCCTCGAGCCTCTGTCCATCAAAGCTCCACCTCAGTCTCTGTCTGTCCGAGGCTGCCAAGCGACTTGACCTCCTTCCCTCAGCCCGCCCCCAAGCCCACGGCGGTGACACGCGAAGACAGTCGAGTGACTAGTGGCACGGTGCATGCTGCGAGTAAGGATCCGGACCCGTGTCTCTGTTCGAAGTGTCTGAGCTAAGCTCGCGCCACATGGTTCTTGCCAGGTCGGTGGTAACAGTGGCAGGCAAGCGTTACGGCCTGCGGCGCATGGTGGGGCAGGTCTGCTGGAGTGTTGCCAAGAGTGCCGAGCGCTTGGCAGGCGGATGTGGACACATGGTCAAACTGGATTTGTACGACTGGGCAGTTTTTCAAGCTGGAGATAGCGGGAGTATTGGCCATTCAGTCCAACTGCATCTTTTGGGAAGTGTGTCGTGCGTTGAAGTGGAAGCGTTGGTCAGGATTGTTAGTCTGTTAGTTCCTATCGCATCGTCATCGTTGGAATGCTTGCCTTCTTACTTGCGGGCTTGGTACCCGTCTACATGCTCTCCCCCTTGCCCAGCGACCTCCAGCCAAGCACCCTGGTAACCTACCAACCAGACGACCAACCTATTCGTCAACCGCGCAACCCGTCTATCCTACGTAAATTTACGGCTGAAAGATCTGACACCGTGCGTGGTTCCTTAACGCTTCATCCCGCATGGAGCGACGGTGGAGGAGGAGTGACAGCCACAGGAGAACACTGGTAGAAGTATCGGTGCTGGTGGTGGCGGTGGTGGTGGTGGTCGTGCTCGCGGTCCTGGTCGTGGTGGGGGTGGGGGTGGGCGTGGGCGTGGGCGTGGGCGTGGTGGGCGTGGGCGTGGGCGTGGGCGTGGGCGTGGGCGTGCCATGGGCGTGGGCGTGGGCGTGGGCGTGGGCGTGGGCGTGGGCGTGGGCGTGGGCGTGCTGGTGGTGGTGGTGGTGGTGGTGGTGGTCGTGGTCGTGGTCGTGGTCGTGGTCGTGGTCGTGGTCGTGGTCGTGGTCGTGGTGGTCGTGGTGGTGGTCGTGATGATAGTCGTGGTGGTGGTCGTGGTGGTCGTCGTGGTGGTAGTCGTGGTGGTAGTCGTAGTAGTAGTCGTAGTAGTAGTCGTAGTAGTAGTAGTAGTCGTCGTCGTCGTCGTAGTAGTAGTACTGTTGATGGAGGAAATCTTGCACCATTT